GCCAATCTGGCGCCAATCTGGCAGGCCCAATCTGGCAAACGGGAGCCATCTGGCGAGGGAGCCGACGCGAACCCAGTCTGGCGAAGGACCCAAATCGTCCGGTTTGGCCGGACCAGATTGGCCCTTGGGGCCCAATCCAATCTGACAGGGTCGATGGTCGAGGGTCGAGGAATCGAGGGTCGAGGTCGAGGGGTGGATCGAGGGGTCGAGGTCGAGGGGTCGAGGTCGAGGGGTCGAGGGTCGAGGGCATCGAGGGGTGGAGGCCTGGAGAGATCGAGGGTCGAGGTCGACGGGCGTCTCCTCGCCCCTGCTGGCCTCGCGGGGGCTCCTCGTCACCACGGCCGGATCTGCCTCGAGGTCCTGGCCACGACGCGCCCTGGTCCTCGCGGGGCAGTCTCGAGCCGAGGAGGGTGAGGAGGATGAGGAGGGCAGGAGGAAGATGGAGAAGCGCTGGCAGGCTCACACGGATCAGGGTGACTCTACCCGCTCACTCCTCGCTATCCAACCGCTGATCCTTGTACTCGCGGCGCGGACGTACCTTCTTCGTGGGCTGCGGGAACGGGATCCGCACGCCATTCTTCAAGAGGACTGGCTTGAAGAACGCTGGTACGTCATCGCTCATCAGGGGGCTGTTTCGGTAGCGCCTGACGTTCTCCTTGAGGCCCTGGCAGACGCTCCAGTGCGTCGCGCACGCCGTTTTAGAGAACGACGATGGCCAATTATCAAAGCCGTCGAAGGCACGTCGGAACTCCTCCGCTCGCTCCGGTGTGGTCAGGTTCGCGAAGGCATACCCAACTCCGAGCATCTCGGTGCGCTTGACCGGGACGTAGACGAAGTCGACCCACGGGGAGAACCCCATGGACTCCAGCAGGTCGATCAGCGAGTCGCACGTGTAGGACTGGGGCACGTTGCGCAGCATCACCGTGGTCCACTTCGGGGCCTTGCTGCCGCCGCCGCCGAGCCTGGGCCGCTCCCCCCCCGCCAGCCGGAGGCCCCTCGGGACGAAGGCCTCGGCCTGGCTGCGGAGGGGCGCGTACGCGGCGGCCCGGCCGCGGAGAGGCGTGCGCCCGACCAGGGCGGCCGGCCCCGCCTCGAGCCCCGGGGGCGCGAGCCCCGGGGGCGCGCGCCCGGGGGGCGCGAGCCCTGGGGGGAGGCCGATGCGCCCCGCCAGCAGCTCGGGCTCCGAGGAGAGGTCCTCGTCGGTGTCGGAGTGGTGGTCCCGGTCCGAGCCCACGGAGGTGTCGCTGCGGGCGGCCGGGCCGTCGCCGTCTGGCAGGTGCACCTTCAGCGGCAGGACGTCCGCGGCGGCAGGGCAGGAGCCTGGTGTGGAGGGCGCCGTGGGCATGCTCTCCGTGCGTGTGTATCTGTGCGATTTGGGGATAGAACTTAGGTTTTGGAGTGTGTTTCCTTTCCGCTGCTTAGCGCTCTCTTGAGCCCAAATGGCCACCGGCGTCGTCTCTTGCCGACCCTCCCTGCCTCGGACCTCTCCGGCCCACGGTCGAGGCTGGCCGATCCTCTTTTGCTCCTCGCCCAAGCTGGCGCCAAGCTCCTGCGCCCCCCCCAACTCCTCTCGAAGGGAGCCCAGCGTGAAAGCAGGCAGGGCCGGGGGGAAGGACGGGAGAGGTACGAAGGAGGGAGGGATGGGGAGGAGGGCTGAGGATTGAGGGGCGGTTTTGAGAGAGGGAGGAAGGAAAGGATGGAGGGGGGTGGGGTTGGAGGGCGGAGCGGTTTGACGGAGGGAGGTTGGAGGGGCTGCCCCCTCCTCTTCCCCTCCCCCCCATCGCCTGGGAACTTGGCAGGAGCACCTCTACATATAACCCCCCGCGTTGCACTCCCTCCTCCTCCCTACTCCTCCCTCCTTCTCAGGCCCTCAGTCCCTCCCTCTTTCTCCCCCTCCCCCCTTCCTCCTTCCCCCTCCGTCTCGCACTTCCTCCTCCTCCTCCTCCTCCTCCTCCTCCCTCCTCCATCCTGGTCCAATTGGTACTTCGTCGCCCATCTGTGCCTTTGTGAGTCTCCCTCCTTCCCCCTGCTTCTCCCTTCCTCCCTGTCTCTCTTTTTCTCTCTCGCTCTCTCTCTCTCTCCCTCCGCCTCCCCCCCCGTCCCTCCTCTTCCCTCCGTGAGAACAGCAGGACGTCTAGAAACAAGTGGTCGTTGACAGGTGAATTGCGGCCTCCGCGCGCGCGTGTCAGAACACATCGGGCTGCTAAACAGATGTGGGGCGGGGACATTGGTAAGGATTGGTATTGGAGCAGGCGCGCTGAAACAACAGACATGGTCTTGGAGTGCTAGAACCAAGCCTCCGCGCGCGCGTGAGAAAAACGCTAGATTTTCAAGGCATGCCATGCTCGTCGACTAAGTGGGGTAAGGGTTGGTATTGGAGCAAGCGCTCTGAAACACCAGACATGGGGTGCTAGAACCAAGCCTCCGCGCGCGCGTGGGAATACACCAGATATTCCACGCATGCTCGTCGACTAAGTATGGTAAGAATTGGTATTGGAGCCGGCACTCTGAAACAACAAACATGACCTTGGAGTGCTAGAACCAAGCCTCCGCGCGCGCGTGGGAATACACCAGATTTTCAAGGCATGCTCGTCGACCAAGCAAGGTCTCATGCCTCCCGCGCGCAGGCCATGCATTCAGCACCTCACTACATCCTGGTCCACTCGCCTCTGGTCACCCTGGCACCTGCGCCCTTGTGCGGTCCTCCGATGGCTTGCCGTTGCGCCGTCCGTCAGTGTGCAGGGTACTGCAAGGCAGTCTCAAGCACCACGCGCGGCCGGAGCTGCTCGCCCCGCCTCCCCTCCGTGCCCAGTTTTTCTGCTCGGAGCTGTGCGGTCGCCCGTGGGCATTCCCTCTAGCGTTTCTCCGCCTCGCCTCCGCTCCTGCTTCCCTGCCCTGTTTCGAGGAACCAGCGACGGCATGAGCGTAAACTTTTGGAGGTCCGCGCGCAGCTCCGAAAGCTAACTTGTATGCCTCTTCTGTTCTTCGACTACTGCGATTTGAGTTTGCCGATGGCCCGCCATGGCGTGCCACCTGGCACGCTGAGGCGTGGCGGAAGGCCTAATTGCTGCCTGGAACGACTTCTGTACATTCAAAATTGATAGTAAGGATGTGCGATAAGGATGCAAGGCCCCTTGGATGCCCGTGTTGAAGCTTTTTCGAGCGCGGCGGGCCATCGAAAGCAGTCAAGGATGAACCAAAGAGGCACGGATGCAAGGGTACCCTTGGGAAGGCTACCCGTCCTTACCATCGGTTTCGACTGTATGTCCTCTCCCAGGTAGGAGGCTGCCAGGGGGTCTGAACTGGTTGGGGCCCTAGAAAATCGGCAAGGAGGGGGGATGCAGCCAAATCCGCTCAAAGCCATTCACTGGAACCCTCTCGGGGTCCATCTGATGAAATGTTTCATCCCACATCCGTTTCTGACAGTCCTGGGGCCCGAAAGCGGCCCCAGGGGACAGAACAAGGGCAAACACCTTCCTGAACCTGAAACATCGAATCTCGCCCCCCCTTCCTGCTCGGCAGAACCAATGCCGGGCCACTTCATACCAGCAAACGGCTATTACGCGAGATGACATAGCGACCTTACGCGTTGGCTTACGCGGGCCGCCAGCGTAGCACGCTACATGGGAAACGAGGGCACTTGCTCGCGACTTTACGCGGGCAGCTTGCAGCCAACCCATATAATAAGGACGCACGATAAGGATGCAAGGGCCTTGCTTGGAAAGGCCTTAGCGAAAACGGCCAAGGATGGGCCGAAGGGGAAGGATGCGAGGGTAACCTTGTCGCTCATCCTTACTATGCGGGTTGACTGTACGTGAGAATGTCGGCGCAGTCGACTAGGCTCTCTTTCGTCGCCCAAGTGCTGCCTGGGACGGTTTCTGTAGCCGCCCGCCCTGGCCGGCGCTGGCCTTGCACACAGGGGCGTCGATCGTCGGCCTCCTCCTGCTGCTGCTGCTGCTGCTGCTGCTGCTCCTCTTTCTCCTCATCGTCCTCCCTCCCTCCTCCTCGCTCCTCCTCCTCCCCCTCCTCCTCCTCGCTCCTCCTCCTCCTCCTCCTCCTCCTCCTCCTCACCACCACCACCACCACCACCACCACCACCATCATCATCATCATCATCATCATCATCATCATCATCATCATCATCATCATCATCATCATCATCATCATCATCATCATCATCATCATCATCATCATCATCATCATCATCATCATCATCATCATCATCATCATCATCATCATCATCATCATCATCATCATCATCATCATCATCATCATCATCCTCTCTCCTCACGCTTTCCTGCGTGCCCCTCCCGCCGCTCGGCCCGCGGCTCTCTGGGCGGCGCCGGCGCTGCCCCAGGGGCTCTCCAAGGCTCCAAGCATCCCAAGACGGCCCGAGAGGGCCACAGAGGCCGGTAAGGTGGCCGATGACCGTGTCAAGAGCCATCCGACATCGCCCAACAAGCTCCCAAAAGAGGAGCTCTCTTGGGGACTTCCAACGCATCGAAGCGAAGGCCGGGAGGGAATCCAGGACGGTCAAGCATGATATGGGATGGTACGGCATGGCGTGATATGATATGGTATGATATCATATGATGATATACGATGATGATGCTGATGATGATGCTGATGTCAATCATGACGATGATGACGATGATGCCAATGATGCTGATGATGATGCTGATGCTGTTGATGATGACGATGATGACGATGACGATGACGATGAGGAGGAGGAGAGGAGGAGAGGAGGAAAGAAGAGGAGGAGAAAACATAGCAATAACACCGTGCGAGCGACCGACAACGACATCGTCCAGCGAGATCCCTATCCGCGGCCGGAACCGGCCAGGGCGAGGCGCTAGGGGCAAGTGCCGTTGCTCCACTGGATGGTCGTGGCCGCGCCGCCTCGGCGCAGGAAGCCGGAGAGCCTGGTCCCGTTGACGAACTCGACCTGGACGGCGTCCTCGTCGTAGATACCTGGACCGAAAGGAGGGCGAGGAGGGAGGGAGGGGGTGAGGGAGGATAATAGAAAGAGGGAGTAGGAGTAGGAGTCAAGCTACCCAGCTCGAGCGAGTCAAGCATGGTATGCCCATTCCCACCAGCCCTCCCACAACATAAGAAACAGTGCTGGCACAACCTGGGACCGAAGTCAGATCGGCAAAATGGTTTGCCACAGCTGATGCAGCCGCGATGGTGGTTACCGATGGGAAATTCCTGGCGCGTCTCAAAAACTGCGCTGGCATTTCAGCACGAGCCGAGGAGGCCCCAGGAAGCCTCAGGAGGCCCCAGGAGGCCCTAGGAGGTTGCAGGAAGCCCTAGCGAACCCCAGGAAGCCCCAGGAGGCTTCAGGAGGGCCCAGGAAGCCCCAGGAGGTTCCAGGAGGCTCCAGGAAGCCCTCAGAGGTGTCAGGAAGCCCAGGGGACTCCCAGGAACCCCCCGGATGCCTCAGGAGGCCCCAGGAGGATCCACGAGGCCCTGGGGAAGCCCCGGGAAGCCCCAGGATGTTCCAGGAGCCCCAGGGGGCCCTAGGCGCTCGACGAATTGGCGAGCGAAGAATGTGCGCCGCATCTTAGCGGGAGTGCAACTTTCAGAAAGCATGCGCGCGGCGCCAAAGCGGGAGCGACATTTTGGCCTGTCGCGCGCGATGTGCACCGCGCCCCATTCCTGCCACGCCTTTCGCGAAGCCGACGACAAGAAAGTCCTCGCTGAGAAGAAACATGTCGACTTTGTATTAGTGTTTGATGGGTAGAATGGCCGCTCCCGCTTGGGGTTGCCTCAGACGTCCGCGCGCGATGTGCGCCGCGTCCCGCTCCTGCTACGCATTTCGCATCGTCGACGACAAGACAGGCCATGTTGAGAGAAAGAACGACGACTTGGTATTGACTTTTTGCAAGTCGGATGGGAGGGCCGGGATTGACGGCCCCGCGTGATGCGCGCCGCGTCTTATTCCTGCTACGCATTTCGCATCGTCGACGCCCAGAAAGGCCATGTTGAGAGAAACAACGACGACTTTATATTGATCGTTCACAATTCGGATGGGAGGACCCAGATTGACGGCCGCGCGCGATGTGCGCCGCGTCCCGTTCCTGCCACGCATTTCGCATCGTCGACGACAAGAAAGGCCATGTTGAGAGAAAGAACGACGACATGGTATTGATTTTTTCTAGTTAGGATGGGAAGGCCCGGATGGGGCCGCTACCGGCCGGCCAGAGAGGGGGGAGTACGAGTTTTTTTTAATTTTTTTAGGTGGAAGGAGGGCGACGAGGGAACGAGGGAGAGGAGGAGGAAGACGA